ATAGAGACAAAGAAAAACACAAAAAAAAAAAAAAAAAAAAAAAAAAGGCTTAGCCAAAGGTTTAAATCAAGAACCATTTCATTTCATTTAAAAAATACAAAACACATTGGAACAAAAGAGACTTCTAGGTGGCTGGTTTTCATATTTCTGGAAGTACAAAAAATTCTGATGTTGCATTGTATGTAGTCAGAAAATAATTACACTGTAAATCACATATTTCACTTAATATAATAAAAGCACTTCCCAAAGGGTACTTTTTGGCCAAAAAAAAAAAAAATTTAAATCATATCATTTAACACAAATAAGAGAAGCGGATTCCTTAACAGTGGCTTGATGGTATCACTTTTATCTTTTCCAAATATTTCCCCATAGTTGATTTGAACCTGGTAATAGCCTTCAGGAAGGAAATAGGTGTGATTCACAATCTCCATTTCATAGGATAGGAAGTAAGATGCAGAGAGTTGAAGATGCTTGTCCAAAACAATCCAGTGAGTTAGTGAAAAAGTCATTTCTGGAATCCTGATCATTTGACCACATCACAGAGACGTTCTGCAGTGAATTAGCTCAAGGATATTTTTGCAATTTCCACCAATTCTTTTTGTAAAACCATATTTTCATGTATTGGGTTCACTTAATTTAGGGTACATCTGTGAGACTACAACAGTCAAAAGAATAAATTGTCTTTAAATTTGAATGGTCTTTGTTCACTTAAAGTAACACTAAAAGTGAACAGGGTTTGGGAAAACAAAAACAGCCATGATCCCAGTGATCCCCTTTTATTTCCAAAGCAGGCAATAGCTGGCCTTCTTAGGATACATATGCCCTCAGAGGATGGGAAATGTCTCCAAAATGGGCCAACCTCCCCTTCCCATTCTCACAGAGCAGATACCAATCCCTGGTGGGCACCATATTCAACCCTATCCCCTTGTGATTGACCCACAGGAGCTGCTCAGCCTTGTCCACGTCATTCTGCTTGAGAAGCTACAGTTTCTTGGAGTAAATTTAGCCAACCCATCCTCTGCCTCCTCAGATACCAAGTCCCAAGCTCATCACCTTCTCCAGGGCCATCGTTCTCATCCATCGAGCTGCAGACTTTGGTGGATGCAAGTGAAGTAGAGGAGCCGCCATGCTGAGAGCTCTGTAGGGGAACAGAAATCGGTAATTCAAAAACTGGGTCAGAATGCCTGAGTTTCCAGGGGCCGTGCCCAGCTCGGAATCTCAGGAGAAACCTTTGCCCATGCTAGGGAGGATTTGATCTTAACACTTGGAAAAAGACGTCTTCAGCATATTCAACTGGGGCCACATCTCCCTCTCTCCCTATTAACCAATAATAGACTGTGATAACAGGATCAAGCTGGTCATTGTGAACTTGAATGTTCCATGACTTCTTATTCCTTTTGCTCAAAATCAGCTCACTCTTTGGGTTTGGCAGAGTTCAAGCATCTCACCTGACTCTTCCACAGTCTCTCGGCAAATGGCCCTCAAATGTGGTACCATTCTGATGCCATTCACTATTTTTTCTATTTTTCCAGTAGAAAACATTTCTCTTCAGTTTGTTTTTATAAAATATCCTAAAAAAAAATTAAATGCTCCACCTTACCACAACTTTAGGAGAAAGATTAAAGAGTGGGGTTGTCATTTCTATTTTGAGATCAAAACATAAGCACTGAGTAAGTTATTGGTTTGTTAAATGTTACATAATAAGTCTGAAGTAAAGACAATAAATGCCTAGGCCTTATAGTTCTGTGTGATTTTGACCCAAGACCCATGAAAGCAAACAGGGTAACCAACTGTATGAGAGAGCTCAGAGGACAAAACAGTACCAAATATTTAATATTATGACTGGCTATGGGACAGTACTTTAACAATGAATGTTTCCATCTCTGCATCTATTTCCTGAGAAAACAATTTGCACATTTCAATGCTATTTCTAAATAGTGAACACAGCTTGTCCTAAAAGATCTTCCTTCTGTTTCCCTGGGTTTATCCACTTGGTTGGCCTGATGGGAGCAGGAGGCGGTGAGGGGGCGGGCGGCATTGGCTCATGGTGCCGGCTGTCTGTGGAGCAGAGAGAAGGGAAAGAGCATCTGTAGTTGAATTAATAATGAAGAGGTGGCAAGAAGCAAAGCTGACCTGTTTTTCCTCTGCTTACCTGTTTCCCTTCAACCTCCTCCCCAACCCATTCAGCCTTAAAGTATGTACAAAGTAGGAGGAAAGACAGGTTTGACGTAATTTCATTATGGTCTATAGTATCCTGCATAGGAGATTCAGAGATTTTAGTTTTCATTAAAAAGATTAATATAGTTGGGGAAATGCTGCCTAAGTCACTGCAGAGCCATCTAAGTCAAACATCACACAACTTTTTCCTGGGTGTGACTTAGATAAGCATGTCCCATTGGTCAAGTTCATCAAAGCTCACAGTTGACACCACTGGGATGAAAGTTAATGTAATAGCAATAGCACATCTGCTTTCCTAAAGAACAGGCTAAAATTTTCGAGATGACTCTTGTATACCCCTGGACACCACACAGTTTGTGTAATGTGCCCATTGTTTCCAATATTATAAAAATCCCCCCTCAGCAAGCCTGGTGACTTGAGCCGTTTTTCTATCTTTTGTAACCAGCAGCACACATTTGTCATGTCAGGCTAGAAAACCGGATTAAGAGTGTCACCTTGACACAGAGTTTTTCTTAGTGTGACACTATGGGCCCATAATCCACTCTGTGGAAGGGACTATAAATGTAGGAGCTTCTAAGTCATGCTTTGCTGACTTTTATGGATGAACGTCTTTTTGTGAAAACCTAGTATTTATAATATTGCGGTATGAGGCTGAGACAAGGCAGATTTATTATGTCAATAACCGAAGAAAATAAACATAACCACATTTGAGGGGAGGGTGTGTGTTTTCCAGAACAGTGAGATCCTTCATCCTCTGGGTCATTGTTTTTGCTGCAGACATAATGGCGTTCTAAACAGAGAAGCACTAAGTAAATGTCTACAATGTAGACCTTCTCTTCTGGGCTTTCTGGTCCTTGAATTTCTTCCAGCAGCAGCACAAATGGTATTTCATAATGGAGACACATGGTGTGGTTTAGGCTGGCAGGTGCTGCCTTGTCACGTGGTGTTTTAAATTTAGAATACAAAGACACATTCTTTCACCAAATTAATAGACCAGTAGCATGCTTCCTAGCAAAGATGTTCACAATTTAGACACTCAATTCCAAAAGCTTGTTCTTTTAGTAAGAACATCAGGTACTCGATACAGAGCTCTGACCCATAGTACATGAAAACATCTTTTAAACTGTAACATTCTATAAACTTGTGGGCTATTATTCACTCAATGCTTTATCAACTAATGAATTGGATTTAACAGTGCCACCAAATGGTCGATCACTGAATGCTTGTCACAATGCCAGCTGGGTTTTCTCTGCTTTCTGAACAAAAACCTCTCAGAGATTTTAGGCTCTGGTAGAAAAAAAAAAAAAAAAAAGGGAAAAAAAGTAGGGTTGACACAAGTTGCTTATGTTTGTAACTGCTTGTTTTCAACGTTATGATTGTATTTTTGTGTTTCTGAAAATGTATCCCGAGTCATTTCAAATTTTCTGCTGCTTGAGAGTAACAGATGATGGGCAGTTAAGAGAAAAATATACTTACGGACATACAGAGTTCTCTGAAAATGTAAAGCTTTCATTTTATTTGTTATGCTCAAAGAGAGTAAAATCAATGTATTAAACTTCTAATAGTGTTATCTCTTTTTTCCCAAAGAAGTAATATAGTTAATACTAAATACTTTTCCAAGATAGTGACCATTCATTGATTCCGAGAGTTTGGGGGACTGGGATGGACCTTAAATATTACCTATTCTGCCCCATTTCCACCCAGAGACCAAATGCCCCCTACAGAAATCCTAGTGGGTGGTCAGATGGCCTCTGTCCAAATACTTCTAGTACTGAACATACTACTTCCGGAGGCAGCCCTTCATCATTAATAGGAGGCAAAATAAAGGAAGTTCTTCTGTAAGTTATGTTGAAATTATGTCCTTCTACATTTTCCATTTATTGGTCTTATCTCTGATTTCCAGAGTTGCCCAGTACAGGTCTAATCCACTTTTCACATGACAGTGCTTTCAGGTGTTTGAAAATAGCTACTGGTCTCCATCTGTGTCTTCCCAGCACTTTGGGAGGCTGGGGCAGGAGGCTCGCTTGAGCCCACAAGTTCAAGACCACCCTGGGCCACACAGTGAAATCCTGTCTCTACAAAAAAAAACCCTGGTGCTTAAAAGTGAATGCAATATTCTGGGTGTGCTCTGACTAGCACAAAGCAGAGAAGGATAGAGTTTTCTTTCTCGTGACTAGAACATTAATTAACTTCAAGATCTTATTGGCTTATGTGGATGACGCCATAGCGTTTCACCTTTACAATGAGCCCACAGCTATGTCAGGTCTCCCTGGTGTGTGTTTGAAAGGTTGTCCAGGACTTCACATTTCCCCATGTTAAAGTCATCTTTATTACATTAATATCCTCCCAGCCTGTTATCTTTTAGATTCTGATCTGGTCTCCTAATGTTTTTTGCTCTGTCTCCCAGTTGCAGCCATTCCAGTAATCAGCATGACTCTTTGGATAATCCACCAATTCTTTACTAATCCACCTAAATATACTAACTTAGACCCTGCTGGAACATTTCTATTATTATCCATAAGTCCAACGGAAGGATTTCGAACATAGTAAAGGCAAAATGTGTAAGTGCTTGCTCTTTAGAATTAACTTAATGAGATTAACCAGCCTTTCTTTACAACCAACAGAAGCTGAAAAGCCCACTTATATTTTTTCATTGCTTGTAAATGAAATAAATTTACCTTTTTGGTTTTTCCGAGCAGATAAATCATTTTATAGTCCACATGCCAACAAGATTTTATGTTTGCTTCAATTTGCTAATTCCAAGGCATCTGGGTGTACAGTACAAAATGTACAGTTATTTCAGAATTTAGGGCAATTAGCTGCTCTGAGAAATGTTGTGACATTTGAAATGTCATCACCCCCTCCCCCCCCAAGCAGATTTAATGGGAACCATTTGGAAAGGTTGCTGGCACCTGGATGCTTTTATGGCACACCTTCATAAAAGCACTGCCCTAAGTAAGAACACATCCTAAGTGTAGCTATTGAGCTTGGGATCATATAACAGATGGAGAACATATCACACTTTTTGAAGTAAGCGAGAAAGCTGACATAACAACTTTAACCACATTTTATCAAGATGTATCTGATGACGATGTAGTGGAAAACAGTTCACTTTAAATGGTGTGAGTTACTCTTGCCATTTGTATTAACGTTGTCACTCAGCTGGGGTCCGCGCTGCAAGAAGATTTTGAAAATATCTAATTGAGAGAACTGATCTAATCAAGGTAGAAAAATCTCACCACACTTTAGCTTTGGCTGCATAATTGCACCATTTCCACTTCACATTTTATCTTGGCATACAATTATTACCTTACTGAGTTGATACTGATTTGAAAAATGGTTAAAAATAATTTAGAAATCAAGTAATCACTGGCATATGATTTCTGAATCAATCTTATAAAGGACACACAAGCAATACATTTTTAACACACTCAAACAGTTGTCTTGGTGATCTTGACTTTAGATGCACAGAAGCTCTAAAGAGGACCTCTAACAAAATTAAATAATAATCTTGGTGAAGAGAGCTTGAAACTCACAGGATTCTATATGATATAGAAAAGCCATCCATTTATTTATTTCCCAAGTGGGTATAGAACAATAAGTTGAAGGCATCACTCTGCAATTACTAATAAGGCTCCACTATTTGAAACAAGGCACAAAGGAACTGCTTTTTCCAAATTCCTTTGTCTGCATTCTTCATAGTAGTACGTTCAGCCTAAAATAAAGTTTATGGCACAGATAAGCATGAGCATAAGTAAGAATGAATACTGAAAAATGCAAAACTTTCATAAAGATTTGGATAAATTTTTCAAAAGACTAGAGAACTGTTACTCATGAAGTTGGTTTACCGAAAGGAGGCGAAAATGCAAATGGAAACAACGGTGTTATGGCTATGTTAGTGAAACCATGAGAGCCAAGATTTCAAAGACAAATGCGTTTAGTTACAACTAGATCTATACC